TCAGTCCTGGTTCAGTCCTAGTTCAATCCTGGTTTAGTCCTGGTTCAGAGCTCGTTTAGTCCTGGTTTTTTATACCCAGTTCAGTTCTGGTTTAGTCCTGGTCCAGTTCTAGTTTAGTCCTTGTTTTGACCTGGTTCAGTCCTCTTTTAGTCCTTGTTTAGACCTTGTTTATTTTAGGTTTAATCCTGTTCAGATCAGGTTCAGTCTAAACAGGATTAAATCTGTTTAGACTGAACCAGTCTAAACAGATTAGTGTCTAAACAGGTTAGTGTTTAGTGTTGGTTTAGTCCTGGTTCAGTCCTGGTTCAGTTCTTGTTTAGTCCTTCATTAGACCTTGTTTAGTTTAGGTTTAATCCTGTTTAGATCTGGTTCAGTCCTGATTTAGTTTTTGTTTGGACCTGGTTCACTTCTGGTTTAGTCCTGGTTTGGAAGTTTCCGATCGGCCGTGATTGGCATTTCTCTAAATACTAGTCATAAGTCATAAACAAGACTCCTGGGAATTGAACTTGGGACCTTGTGACTGTGGGGTTGGGCTGCTAACCACTCTGATACCGTGACACCATTTTCAATAGACTACACATCTTATACGAAGGATTCTAAATGCGTAGTACCTGCTTAACTTCTCTTGATAAATCTTGTTGAGAAAAGTTTCATTTTGAGTGGCAGTAGTTCCGTGACCCTTGTTGTGATTGCTTTTAATCAGAGCAGCTCTTGATCGGACGCCCTGCGGAGGCTCCAAAATGTGAGGAAGATTTTGAGAATGCCTTCGTCACCGTAGTCATCATCACGCCCTCCCCGTCCTCGCGTCTGTCTGAGAACTTTTCACTTAGAATCTCTTTTTTGATCAAATCTGTGCAAAGTTTGATTAAGTTTGAAGTCATTTGATTGGGTAATTTTAGCCCGAGGACACAGACGATCTCATCCACCGTCTGTTATGAAGAGACACTTTTTATTTAGTTTGTTTTTTTAGATCAAGGAGATGATGGTGACAAGGATGGTGATTTTTAAGTTTATTTTAATATTGCGATGAACCCGAAAATACTACAAAGATGCATGGTCTGCTTTTATTTAATTGCAAACTTGTCTCATCAAAATGTAAAATGTAAAATAGTTATTCTAACCTTTTTCAGAGTCCGGTATTTTCTGTGTTTTAGCTACTATGTTTGTAAAATGTATCTTCAGTGGATTATTTCCCAATTTCGATGTAAATCAGGGGTGAAAAGTAAGCCAGTCCGGTACTACGTTTTACCGGAACACAGTGAAACGACAAGCTGCCAGACCTTACGCACAGAAAAGTAGTCCCACTGAAATAATTGAATCCAGACTCTACTATCACTTAAACCACTTATTATTTAATATTTAATCTGTACTACCCTGAACTTTTGGCACTCTGAATTCACTTCATTCATTTGGATCTGACTCTCCTCTCTGTGCACCTTTACACAGCCCACTCTTCCTCACGCTCTTTTGTCTTCTGCAAGTGTGACTGAAGGAAGAAACTATCTGAGCAAACGTCATGAAACTAAAAAGTTTAGTGCCAGTCTACGGCTATGATTATATGATGATGGTCTTAACAGAAGACGCAAAAGTGGCATCGCATCTTCACTTTTTATTCCGTGTTTAGACGAGTGTTTTCGGGAGGAAATCTGCGTGCATACAGTGACGCTAAAGTGTGTGGAATTCGATTGGTTGTGCATGCCATCTGACATGTTTGTTTCTGTGTACTGTATGTATGTGACATAAACACGTACACGATATGAGCAGATCTGCCCAGAGTTTTGCATCTTGGGTAGTGTAGACGGAAACACTACGGCGGAGTGTATGCATCTTTTCCAGTCTGGAGAAGATTTTTGAAGTATCTCGGGGTCTTGTTCATGAGTGAGGGAAGGATGGAGCGTGAGATTGACAGGTGGATCAGTGCAGCGTCGGCAGTGATGCGGTCGCTGTATCGGACTGTTGTGGTGAAGAGGGAGCTGAGTCGAAAGGCGAAGCTCTCGATTTACCGGTCAGTCTTCGTTCCTACTGTCACCTATGGTCATGAGCTCTGGGTAATGACCGAAAGGACGAGATCGCAGATACAAGTGCTCGAAATGAGTTTCCTCCGCAGGGTGGCTGGGCGCTCCCTTAGAGATAGGGTGAGGAGCTCAGTCACACGGGAGGAGCTCGGAGTAGAGCCGCTGCTCCTCCACGTCGAGAGGAGCCAGTTGAGGTGGCTCGGGCATCTGTTCTGGATGCCTCCTGGACGCCTTCCTAGGGAGGTGTTCCAGGCATGTCCCACCGGGAGGAGGCCCCGGGGAAGACCCAGGACACGCTGGAGGCACTATGTCTTTGGGCTGGCCTGGGAATGCCTTGGGGTCCCCCTGGAGGAGCTGGAGGACATGTCTGGGGTGTAGGAAGTCTGGAGTCCCTGCTTAGACTGCTGCTCCCGCGACCCGGCCCCGGATAAGCAGAAGAAAATGGATGGATGGATTTTTGCGTTTTTAAGCCCCAAAAACGTCGTTATCATTTAAATGAAAGGCACTTCCGATTAAATGTTTTGTCATTTTTACCCTCAAGCGTTCTCGTGTAAACAGGCCGTATGTTGTCACGTATATTGATGTGCAAATTAGCCATGTGTGTCTGTAATGAGATGTTACACACACAGAATCTCCATCCCTGGTTAAAAGAGAGTATGAAAACTAAGAGGGTAAAAACCTAATAGGCTCTGACAGAATGTTGTCCTCCGCGTATTCCCAGGAGTCCCTTGTTTTGTATAAAAAGTTATTAAACGGGTGGATCAAAACATGATCTAAACATATGGCAAGATAAGGCTCCTGCGCTCTTTGTCCAAATGATTTCCATGGATAAAACGAGCAGGTCACAGAGTAAAGTTCACTGCACACAGAAGGAGAGGGATGGGACAGTTGATCTTTCACACACCAGAATCAGCCGTAATATTAAAATGCATCAGAAAAGGTCTTCTGTGTAGAGGAAAAACAGCCTGACCCTGAGTGAACATAATATAACAATGTGCCTGATGTACATTTTAAAATGATTAGGCTGTTCATTTAACACACATCATAATCTAACTGACTGATTTGTGTCTGAAAGCTGTGACAGACAAAATTAAGAAGCCCTAATAGTACCGGCAGAAAAATAAAACTACTTTCAGCCCTGATCTGAACATAGCATAAGGTTTAAGTGTCTTGCTCAAGGACACAACAGTACAAGCTGGGATCAAGCATATGGGCCCGGTCAAGCAGAAGTAAACAGCAAGGCCAAAAATTCAAGTTAATGCATCTGATATAAAAAAGTATTGAACCGATACATATGTACTCTAGTTTATGAAACTGTTGACCTTTTTTCTGTACCATTTTTGGTTCTAAAGTTCCATATGTTTTAAACAGACCATGTATGAAACATGGAACAAAAATTATTTCCCAAATTTCAAAGACCTGCAAATCATGTAAATAAATGGATGTATTTCATCATATCTTGTGTTATTCCAACTTTGAACTGTTGATGAAGGGACATGATTTAAAAAAAAAAAAAAAAGTATTTAAAATGATAAAAATTTGCTTGGAAGGACTGACATATTTTATAGAAATAGTTTCCTTTCATTTTGAAGTAATATTAAAGTATTCGGAAGAAAAAATTTGACAAATGATGTAAAATCCTGCACCTTCTACTTGCTTGAACAATTTTCCCTCCGTTACTTTTCCCTCCGTTACCATGACCTTTCTTAATAAAAAAACTCATGACTCAAAAAGTAAGAGGTTTTTCAACCTAATCTTGTACCATATGGTAGAAAACTATATGAAGCAAATATTCAAACCAGTTTGTTAAGGATATGGAAGTGAGAACCAAGAGTTATCACTGTTTGGATTTATTGCCCAAAAAGTGCTGCATATTTCATTCCCTCCGTTACCGACATGAGTTTTTAAATTTTTTGTCAACAACTTGAAAGAATATCACAGGTTTAACTTGACCCTGTTGGAGTGTAACTCTTTCCTACATTCTGATACTTTACTTATTTCAATAGTCCCTCTAGTTTCTGAATAAGAGACATTTCAATGTCAAAAATCTGCTCCTGTTTCCCTCTGTTACCACTTGACTGGACCCATATGAGAGCTCTTACAGACTTCATTGTCACACATGTTATCAGCCAGTGTACCTCACTACACTTAAATTAAACCTAACTTTGATTCTCTTGGCTCTATGGATATTTATGACTTGTACTCAAATTAAAATCTAAATATGAATGGGAAAAAGATCTTCAAATCAGAAAATGGTCCATAACATTTTTTTGTTTTGTTTTTTTGTATTGTTTTGAGTACCACCCTCGCTTTTTTCACATTCTAAATACACTTTTGTCTGCTGTAAATAAATGTGTTTACTGTAAAAGAGTATTGATACTTTGCAGCCGATGTCATCAACATTTCCTGGGGGTGTGATGCTAACTAGAGGCTCTGCTCTGTCTGAGGCTTTGTTAGACTTTAATATGAGCTTTATTTTAACACAATCTGACCAGAATAAAGTGAACAGATGAGCTGAGTCAGGACGTTAAACAACTCACATATATAACAGTTGCAAGCTCAGCTCTCATCTTTTTTCTTGAGAATCACCTAAACAGCAACACGAACGCCTCTCTTGTGTCTCCATGGAAACTGCTGAGCATATCGACATAGAGATGCATGTAGAACACCCCCAGTGCAATGTCACTGCAAATGATTAATTCTCAATGGTATGTATGTTCTGGTTTAATAATACTGAAACTCTCCAAAACATTTTTAAGGATGAAAAATGCACTACAAATATAAATGATATCAAATACTCTTTTTTTTTTTTTTCTTTAATCCTTCATTGGGGAAACAACACTGCAGGTTCTACACTGAGCACTTTCGCTTGATTGAATTGAGAAATGCTTGACTGAATGGTCTAGGTCTTCTTGTTGTTAGAATGTGAAGTTTGTATTTCTATTCTGTGTTCCTGATTTGTTTCTCTTGTTTCTGTGTTTGCAGAGCCGTACAGCCCGGCCGTGTGGGTCATGATGTTTGTCATGTGTCTGTCTGTCGTCGCGGTAACCGTCTTCATCTTTGAGTTCTTCAGCCCCGTGGGATACAACCGCAGCCTCCAGAGCGCCAAAAGTAAGAGACTACCATTAATACTACTATTAATACTACTACAACTACTGGGTTTCAGCCTTGTAGTTGTAGTATTTGTGCGTCTTGTGTGTAAACATTGTGATCAGGGACTGGCATGGTCATTTCAGAAAAGTTCAGTAACAACACTTCGGTTTTGTTCAGACTGCAGGGTTTAATGCTCATTTTGGATTTTTTGTGAAATCCGATTTTTTTGAGAAGTCGTTCACATTTCCAATTCGATGCGACTTGTATGTGATCTCCAGTCTGAACTTTAAACGCCCCAAAAGTGTCCCGCATGTGCATTGGAGGACACGACGACGTCACACACAGCGGGCGTTCTCAGTGTTTATGGAAACTGCATAAACGCTGGGCTTGTCTCCCAAAATACGGTCCAGCTCTTTGTAAAATGGACAGGTTACACGTTAAGAGCCGCTTCATTAGTTTGAGTCTTTAGTCTCCTTGTATTTGGATCACAGGCTCTTTATTTTTCATTGACATTGGAGCCAGGACCGACTGTAGCTGGGCTCAGCCATTTCTTTGGTAATCAATTCAAAAACAGCCTGGTTCCGATAAGTCCCCTCCAATTTGGCCTGAAGCCAGCAATCTCAGCAAATATTGACAAACTCACTAACCTCGCTTTCCCTCCATTGACTAGACTCCGAGCCTGACGTGTTGGTGGGATGAATGCGACCTGGCCAGTCAGACTGAAGATCAGATATGTATCAGTTTCAGGAGCACATATCCAAGTGGCCTGGGTCACATATGAAAAAATCGGATACAGATACAGGTCACATAGGGGCCAAAAAATCGGATTTGGGTCACTTCAGGCTGCAGTCTGAACTAAGGTTGTGCGGTATCCAAATTTTGATACCGTTAAACCTTCTCATAATTTTAAACCTCTCAGAATTTTACCAGGGTATACGGTATTACCTTTATTACCGTTATTACCAAATGTTTTAGTACCTCATCAGCGCACAAGGAAAGAGCTGTTTTTATCACCATTTTATAGTTTATGCAAATGAGCCATGTGGTTTTAAGTTTTGTTTCTGTAAAACATAAACAAATGTGCATCTGAAGACAAAATGCTGCCAAATTGCAAAACTACAAGTTGTTGTTTTTGTTTTTTTTCAACTCGCTTATGGCCGGACTTGCCATCTTGTCTTGGTCTCCCTTATGAGCATCACATGACAATGGAACAAAACTAACGTCATCTCCCCACGCAGTTAAAAGAAACATTATAGATACTATTAGTTTTAAATTGTGATTGCATTAAATTGAAAATACAACCACACATTTATTTGTGCTGAGCAAACAAATTTAGATATCAATAAATTATAATATTATATTAAGTCCTTAGGCGCTGCAGATTTTTTGACGGTAATGAAACTGATACTGTTGTTACTTTTTGATACTGTAATACTGTATTACTGCCCAACCCAAGTCTGAACGTAGCCTTAGAAACCCCAAACTCTTCCTGCAGATGTCTGGTGTGGTTTACAGAGCAAACTCATTATAAAATAAACAACAAAGTAAGAAAGCAAAATAATAAAAAAAGCAATTCACCTGTCTGGCCTTTTGGAATTCTACAACAAACATCAATATACATCAATTTTCTTCCTGCTTTATTCAGGGCAGAGGCAGCAGGTTGAATAGAGAGGCCCACACTTCTCTTTCCTCACACACTTCTTCGAGCTCCTCTGGACCCTCAGGCCAGCCCAGAAACAGAGTCCCTCCGGCGCGCCCCGGGTCTTCCTTGAGGTCTCTTCCTGGTGGGACATAAACACTTCCCCCAGGAGGCGTCCAGGAGGCATTTGGAGCACATACCCGAGCCTCAGCTGCTCCTCACCCTGTCTCTAAGGGTGCGCCCAGTCACCCTGCATTTGGACCGCTTGTATCTGCCATCTTGACCTCCGTGAAGTTGGCCCCCCAACAAACGCAAACCTACACAAAAACTATGTCAATCATTTGTGCTCTGTTTCAGCTGCAAAAAAGTTTTGTTTGTGCTGCTTTAGTTTTTGAGATAATAACAATTCTTTCATTGGTCAAATGGAGGTCAGCCAGTCCCCCAGGAAGCTTCAAAATGTTCTAAAACGACCCAAAATAGTGTCATTCACTCAGCTGAAGGCAGTGGCCTTAGCAAAACTAGTGAAGATAAATGATCTCAGGCTTGGGAAAAGTCTGCATCAGGCTTTAGTAACTTCAAACATCAAGCTTTTGATTCATATAATTCATATATATATTCATATAATTTCTCCTAAAATTATCATTAACAATTTTAGAAATATAATCGCACAAATGAAAACTGTCACAGCATAAAACAGTACAAATGAAATACAAACGTTTCGTATAATTTTTTGTCTGTTTTGAAACTATTTAACATTTTGAGGAGCTGGATGACTTCAGCGACCGAAAATAAAAAACTGCTAATATCTTAAGAACCATAACTGCACAAATGAAACTTTCTCCAGCAAAAAACAGCACAAACAAAGCACAAATGATTGACATCATTTTGGGCCATTTTAGAGCATTTTGAAGCTTCCTGGGGGCTGGCTGACCCCAATTTGACCTATGAAAGAATTGTTAATAGGCTTGTCCTGATCCGATCACTGCTGACTGCGATCACTGCGGACTGGATCCAGACTACAGCACGCAACATTTTATTTTTTAACTGAGGCGCGGGAGTTGGCACTTTTGGCAGAGAGGGTGGGTCCAGCGACATGAAGTGTCTATTGAGCGGTGGGAAGATTTTGTATTATTTGGATTTCATAGATGAGCCTAAATGTTTAAAATATAATGCACAGACGTCCATATAATATCAAATATACAAACTGTAGATTGTTCAGAGTCGAGTCTCAGGTCTGATCTGATTCTGGTCTGGTTCCTGTTTTGTCCAGTTCATTAAGTTTACTAAGTGACACATTCCAAGACCAGACTGTGGAAAAAGTAAAGATTTTCAACAATGATGGTGCATGGTTTGAAAAGTTAATACAATTTTAGTTTTGGACGTTTGATTTTTCTCAAGTTCAGCCCAAATACAACACATGAAATCAACACAATCTGATCCCCCCACACATCCTGGATCTTATTTTTTGCTCTTAGTTCATTTTATAATTTTTATAGATGTATCGGATCGGGACTCGGTATCAGCAGATACTCAAAGTCAAATGACTCGGTCTCGGGGGCAAAATAATGTGATCGGGACATTCCTAATTATTAATATCTCAAAAACTAAATCAGCACAAGCAAAAATTTTGAAGCACAAAACAGCACAAAAAGAACACAAACGATTGACAAACGACAAAACAGCACAAACGATTGACACAGTTTTTGTGAAGGTGTGTGTTCGATGGGGGTCCAACTTCTCGGAGGTGCCATCTTGTACTTTTGGTCCCAAAGCCCATGACTGTAGGAGAGAAACACAGAAAGATATTATGAAAATGAGAAAATAAATGAATTATTATAACAGCAACATAATATCCAACAAGTGAAGAGTTTCTCCTCAAAGTTCATGTGTGAGGAACATTGTTGATCTCAGTAGGTTTTTCTCTCCATAGAAGCCAATCAGACCCCCCACCCCTCTCCTCTCCTCCGCTTTATCTGCTCTGTCTCTCCATCGTGAGCAGACGGAGGGAGGCTGATTTCAAACGCAAATCATCACAACTCTTTTTATTCTTTATTATACATTTCCTAGTCACAACAACAGTCCGCTCCCTCCATTCTGAGTGTATTTGTGCTTAATTGACGAAACAGTGACAGCGTGAAGGCAGTCATGTCTCCACGGAAACCATCAGCCCGCCGAGAGTAAAATCATTTGCGATAATGATGGGGGATTTTTATTTGTTATGAAATGAATGAGGTGATAATATTGAAGTGCAGAATGAGATGCGATGGGATCAACAAGAAAAAAGACAGAATTGTGACATATTTCAGCTGATTAATTATTGTATTCATTCAAAAGCCCTGTCACCGATTTCAACCATATTCAAACTGTGAAAAACACGTCTATCAGTGGTTAAAGAGACAATATGTAACTTTTCTGGTGAAGGTTCAGAATGTTGTAAGTTTATTTTATATAGCGCTTTTCACAGACATATGTCACAAAAACGGCTTTTCAGAACATTATTCATTCACTCCATACCCAGTGGTGGTAAATTACTATTGCAGACTAAATGCTAATCTGCGTCATGGGTCCCTCTGACCACCACACACCACTTTCATACTAGGCAATGTGGGTGAAGTGCCTTGCCTAATGACACAATGACAGTTTTTGTGTCTGGTGCCCCACTGTAGCACCTAATTTTCCCACTGGTCTCCCATCAAGTACTAACCAGGCCCGACCTCTGAGCTTCTGAGATCTGACGGGATCAGGCTTTGACAAGCAGATATGACCACAAACCCACAATCTAACATAGCTTTACAAACCTCTCTACCTCCATGGAGACAAGGAGATGACAGCTCGAATGAACAAAATAATAGGCAAGGCAAGGCAAGTTTATTTGTATAAAGTGCTTTACAGAGTAAGAAAGACATTAAAATCACAATACAAACAAAATCAAAAAAGATCATAAAGTTTAAAATTTAAAAAGAGAGACATAAATTAGAGAGAAGAGTGCGGAATGAAAACCTTTCATATGCACAGTTAAACAGAAATGTTTTGAGCCTGGATTTAAACAGCGTCACAGAAGAGTCTGTCTCACATGTTCAGACTGTTCCAGGTTTTAGCTGCATGAACCTGAAACTCCGACTCCCCTTGTTTAGTCGTGACTCTGGGCACCAGCAGGAGGCCGGTCCCTGAGCTCCTCAGAGTGTGAGATGGTTTATTTGGGACTAACATGTCACAGATGGACTTTGGTGCTCGGCCATGGAGAGACTTGTACACAAACCGAGATCCTTTAAAGTGTCTCTCTGAGCCAGTGCAGAGACCTGAGCACAGGACACATGCGCTCGTACTTCCTAGTTTGAGTAAGGACCCGAGCTGCAGCGTTCTGGATGTACTAGATAAGTCAGTTGTAATGCTTTACTGTGGAACATTACAGATAAAGCAATAACATCTCCATAAAGAGCTCTTTGTACAATACGGTACTGAGGAGAACAAAAACAAACAAAAAATCTAGTGTTTGATGACTTCATTGTAAACATACATGTCAATATAATCTAGATATACTGTACATATTGGAAGTATAGGATTAAATAATACTATTAGAGCATGTATAACATAACATGTCATAGAACTTAACTTAGTGTACACTACAGGTCAAAAGTTTTAGAACACCACAATTTTCCAGTTTTTTACTGTTTACTGTTGACCAAAACATATTCTAAACTTTTGATTCATGAGTGTCCACCTTTGGCAGATAGAACAGCTGAACACACTCATGACTCGTTCTTTTTACAATAGAAATCAAATATTCTTCAGAAAGTTCTTCCCAAGTCTGTTGCAGAAGTTTCTATAAATGTGTGGCACTTGTAGGTTGCTTCACTCTTCTGTCCAGTTCATCCCAAACCAGCTCCATGGGTTTAAGTCTGGACACTGTGCTGCTGGACACTCTGTTTTCAAGTTGACCATCTTGTTCTTTTTTCCTGAGGTACTTTTGGCAGAACTTGGACTTGTGTTTTGTTATCTTTTATCTTTTTTTAATCTCTAGCTGTTCAGTTCTTACCTTTGTACCATTTCAGGCTGTTCATTGGACCTGCACGACTAGAACTGCAAATAACTGGAAACATTAGGGTGTTGTAAAACTTTTGACCGGTAGTGTATATGACTTGTAAGAAGTTTTCACTAAAACACAGCTACCTATGGACATATGAGAGGGTACAACGTTTTTACACCATATGTGGCAACAAATGTGGCCAAAGACCTTCCAGAGGGAATCCTTGGTGTGTGAATGACTCATTTCATCACCAACCGAAACACCAGAGCAGAGTAACAATGAAACCTTTCCTATTCTGTTCACCTGACTTCCCCTGGACGCTGCTGTGATGCTGCAGGACACAGAGGAGGGACACTTTGGTCCAGAGGAGTGTTCCTCTCATCAAACTGCCCTGACACAGATCTGCTGGCTCTACCTGACCAGTCCTCCTGTTAAACTGCACTGAGACCTTTGACTGAGACACAAAAGACACTGAGACTCACAGTGTAAATGTTGCTGCAGCAAAACTTGAATTTCCCTCAAGATCAAAAAAGTATCTCTCTCTTTCTGTTTTCTATTATATAGAGACTAACAGAAATAGATATTTTGTTAGAGAGTGTTTAAACTGTCAGGAAACACCTTCCTTGTGCATGTCCCTGCATTCTGGGTGTAATTGTCCGTGCACATAGGTAAAGATATTGTGTTGTTATATTACCACTTATGTTTGTACTTTTGTTATCAACTTTTATTTTCCACAAACTGCCACTTAACTGATGTAAAACTCTGATAAATAAAGACGATACTACCCCACCAACCCAAGTCATAATTAGAAAAACAAGAAAACCTGTCACATACACTTAAAAGGGACTTGAATGGAGTAGTCCGTCTGACTGTCAACACTGGTTTCTCATTATACCAAAGTGAAGTTATTAAAACTGTGTGGACCCAATATTTAAAAATGTATTTCTCTGGGGAATCAACAACTCACCACATAACAGCAAGAAGACAATTATTCAATATTTACAAATGCACCCGCAATCTAATATAGTCCAGCAAACGAATGCATAATTACCAAAATCCATTTAAATCTCATTTCAGAAATATTGAGCTTCGTAATATTGCCTGCTGTTTTTCTTCTCTCCCAAAGTCGAAGACGCTGTGACACAAGCTTGTAAATTGCCAAAATTATTATTATGAATATATTTGTGCTGTATTGTATAAGCAGCTGTTGAGGTCAGAGTAAATCTGCTGTGTACTGTTTGCTTCTAATTAAAAAGTGTCGTTGAGTGCCTAAAAAAGAGACCTGTGTGATGTTGGCCCCCTACGTCAAACTTATGATAAGTGATTATAAAAATAAAAAAAATCAAAAGCAAGTTTCTAAAGACTGATGCGTACTTTTCCACAGTCTGAGATTGTTTACCTTCTCTAGTTTTGCGGAGTTTTGCTAAAGCCGCTTCTGTCAGTTGAGTGGAAATGACGTCATATAATTTCCGCAAAAACAATCTATTAATGCAAGGAACGTCTCTCTGTGTGTCCCCCTGTTGGTCTGTTCCACGCATAACTCTAGAACCACTCATTCAATACACGCATCAAGAATCTCGGACTTCCGGTCATTGCGTAATCCAAACTGGGAAGTATTTTCTGAAAAAGTGAGCATCAAACCTCCATGTTTGATTTTCCAGTGGGATGCGTCTATTGACAAAGCCGATCTTTTCTAGTCTTTTGAACCATATCACTTTTGTTTCTGGTTCTGATATTGTCATATTTTAGTTTTGAGATTCAGACATCATTAATTGTGTGGATGTTGGATCCTAACAGTGGAAAACGGCTCGAGAAATGTGTTTGCGAACTCCATAGATGCAAAAGTGAATCACATGTGTGTGAGCGGGATCCCGTTTGTTAAGTGAGAGTTACAGAAGACAAACAGGCTGAGCTCGCACTTTCTTGTTCTTGTGGTTTTACAGCAACATGACGTCTTGGTCTCTTTGCAGTGGAAGGTGTTTCTTGGTGAGCAGCTGGTGCCTTTCGCTTTGGCGTTGACTTTTTAAATTCGTAACCAAGATTGAATGAGAGATCGGGGTTTTGCTTTGTTGGCGCTCCACGTACAAAATGTTTGCTGCAAACTCGGGATGATTTAGGCAGTCGCAGGTTTCCTTTTTCATCCTTCCCGTGGATCAGTCCTGCCCATCGCCTTCGCCTTTCACTACTTTTCAAATTCCGTTGGGAAGGGAAACAGTTTGAACAGAGGTTTACAGTCACACAGATCTAATTCACTTTTGCATCTATAGAGTTCACAAACACATTTCTCGAGTCGTTTTCTGCTGTTAGGATCCAACATCCACACAATTAATGATGTCCGAATCTCAAAACTAAAATATGACAATATCAGAACCAGAAACAAAAGTGATATGGTTCAAAACACTTGAAAAGATCGGCTTTGACAATAGACACATCCCACTTTAAAATCAAACATGGCGGTTTGATGCTCACTTTTTCGGAAAATCCTTCCCAGTATGCATTGCGCAATGACAGGAAGCGCGAGATTCTTGATGCGTGTATTGATCACAAATTCAGTGGGTGTCATCCTCATGGTACGGGTGTTTGCACTGCCAAATTTCATGTTATTAGGGCAAAAAATGCCAAAGATCTTTTAACATGAGTGATACAGTTTAAATATAAGCAACTTTTGGAATCACGGACACCACATCCGTAAGTTTTCTACGAGCTGTCCACTAGTAATTCATAATTTTACAAATATACTTTCACAAATTAAAATTGTCACAGCACAAAACAGCACAAATGAAATACAAAAGTTTTGTAAATTTTTCTCTGTTTTGAAGCTATTTAACATTCTGAGGGGCTGGATGACGTCATTGGCTGAAAATAAAACTATTAATATCTCAAGAATCATAAAACACAAACGACTGACACCATTTTGGGCCGTTTTAGAGCATTTTTAAGCTTCCCGGGAGCTGGCTGACCTCCATTTGACCTATAAAAGAATCGTTAATATTTCAAAAACTAAAGCAGCACAAATTACATTTTTTGCAACACAAATCAGCACAAACTGAGCACAAATGATAGACATAGTTTTCATGTAGGTTTGTGTTGCTGGGGGCCAATTTGACAGAGGTCTTAAAGAGCACTGTATACATTTGATCCATTATTATTAACTTCTCGTTTTCGCATTTTAAGTTTGTAAAAATCTAACTTCATTGTGCCCATTGATTGTGAATAATTTGGGTAATAAAAATGTTTTGTTTTGTTTTGTTTTGTGTCAGAGTCTGGAGGGTCAAAGTTCACCATTGGGAAGTCAGTGTGGCTGCTGTGGGCTCTGGTCTTCAACAACTCTGTGCCTGTGGAGAACCCCAGAGGAACCACCAGCAAAATCATGGTGAGTGCACCACAAGACGAGCTGTCAACACGAGCACAAACAACTAAATGAACCAAAGTGAACTAGTTTTTACTATTCAGGAGCTGCAGTTTGGTAGGAGTTTGCTGTAGGAGTTTGTAGTATTAGAAGTTTAGTTCAACAAATCTAGTAGTAGTAGTAGTAGTAATAGTAACAGTAATAGTAGCAGTAGTAGCAGCTGTAGTGGAGTAACAGTAGTAGTAGTTATGTAAATGTAGTAGTAGTTATGCAATGTAGTAGTACTAGTAAGTTATTCAAAAGTTTCAGTAGTAGTAGTAGTAGAATTTGTGTAGATGTAGCAGCAGTAGCAGCAGCAGCAGTAGTAATAGTAGTAGTAGTAGTAGTAGTAGTAGTAGTAGTAGTAGTAGCAGTTGTAGTAGTAGTAGTAGTAGTAGTAGTAGTAGCAGTTGTAGTAATGCAAATGTAGTAGTAGTACTAGTAGTAATATTAGTAGCAGTAGAAGTAATGCAAATGTAGTAGTAGTAGTAGTAGTAGTAGAATTTGTGCAGATGTAGCAGCAGTAGCAGCAACAGTAGTAGTAGTAGTAGTGGTAGTAGTGGTGGTGGTAGGAGTATTAGTGCTAAAGTAGTAATAGTAGTTATGCAAATGTAGTAGAAGTTATGCAAATTTAGTAGTACTAGTTATGCAAATATTCCAGTAGTAGTAGTAGTAGAATTTGTGTAGATGTAGTAGCAGTAACAGTAGCAGTAGTAATAGTAGTAGTAGCAGTAGCAGTAGCAGTAATGCAAATGTAGTAGTAGTATTAGTCGTAGTAGTATTAGGAGTAGTAGTAGTACTAGTAGTAATAATAGTGTGAAAGTAGTAATATTAGTAGTAATAGTTGCAAATATTGTAGTATTAGTATTAGTATTAGTATTAGTAGTGGTAGTAGTAGTAGTAACAATAATAGTGGCAGAAGTAGCAGTAAGTATTAGAAGCATGTAGTAGTAGTAGTAGTAATGCAAATGTAGTACTAGTTATGTAAATGTAGTAGTAAGTAGTACTAGTAGTATTGGTAGTAGTAGTTGTTATGCAAATCTAATAGTAGTAATCTGAATGTAATTATAGTAGAAGTACTAATTATGCAAATGTACTAGTTGTAGTAGTAATGCCACTGTAGTAGTAATAGTAGTTCTGCAACTGTAGAAGCAGTAGTTATGCAGATGTAGTAGTAGTAGTACAATAATATGCCATGGTTTGATATTCTTTTCTTAACCTTAATTTGCATTTACCAAATACCAAATACACGTACCAGCCCGTCTCCATGACGATGTTATGTCTTTACCTGGAATGTCGTCCACAGTAAAATTCCTCATCCGTATGTTCCCCAGTATGGAATTCAACCTTTCCATCTCATTTCCTATCGATCGCTATGGCAACCACACAACCAGTTTCTCAAGGTATTTTCAAACTGTAATTTAACAGATGTAAGGTATTTTTAATAACATACTAGGGAAGATTCTACCATGAAAAGCAGGGAGCAGACCACTGTAGAAATGTTACACAGCAAAGTTTTAGTATTAGCAGGATTTATTTTATACTAGTACATTTTTGAAGTAGTAGTGATAGTACTAAAATATTTCATACATGCAGAAGTCACGGTAGCAGCATTCTGTAAAAATTATAAACCGAAATCCATTATTAGTCAGTACATGTTTTTGAAGTAATTTACCACCATTTTGCAATAACAATTCCACTGGCAAAGGATTTTTTTTTTTTTTTTTTTTATTGCAAACTGCTTCAAGTGCTTGTCTGAAAGCACAAAAGTAGAACAGGTAATTGGCTCTGAGCAGAACTTTTATTATAACTATTATCCAATTCGCATTATATCCACAGGACCTCTTCGCTTTCTCTTGTAATTTCATCCACGTTTTCCACCCCCCGCATCTCAGACCTGTTGCCGGCACCTTCCACTCCGCGTTATTTGTGCATCTACCGGTTTTTCTCGTGATTTGAACACAGAGCGTGCAGAGAAAAAGACCAGTCGTTTGTAGTGTAGTGGTTTAGTTCTGAATGTACATCAAGACGTGTGGAGGTGCTCAGTGGTGTAGCGGGGATTTTTTAAGTGGGGGTACGCGATTCGTGACATCCTCATCCACCTCCGCCCCAAAAGTCAAATACATATACTAAAAAAAACTCTCTTTCAGGACAAATATAACGGTGCCAAAGTAAAAATCTGTACTTTTTTTTTTGTTTTTTTACTCAAAATGATGCAGAATCATGTTGTGAACATTAACACCTTTCATAATCACCTACGGGACATAAAGCACAGACTACACATGAACCAGGACTAAACCAGGACTGAACCAGGACTAAAACAGGACTGAACCAGGACTGAACCAGGACTGAACAGGACTAACCAGGACTGAACCAGGACTAAAACAGGACTGAACCAGGACTGAACCAGGACTGAACCAGGACTAAAACAGGACTGAACCAGGACTGAACCAGGACTAAAACAGGACTAAACCAGGACTGATCCAGGACTAAAACAGGACTGAACCAGGACTAAACCAGGACTGAACCAGGACTAAAACAGGACTGAACCAGGACTAAAACAGGACTGACCAGGACTAAAAACCAGGACTGAACCAGGACTAAACCAGGACTGAACCAGGACTAAAACAGGACTGAACCAGGACTGAACCAGGACTAACCAGGACTAGAAAAGGACTGAACCAGGACTGGTCCAGGACTAAAACAGGACTGAACCAGGACTAAACCAGGACTGATCCAGGACTAAAACAGGACTGAACCAGGACTAAACCAGGACTGAACCAGGACTAAACCAGGACTGAACCAGGACTAAAACAGGACTGATCCAGGACTAAAACAAGACTAAACCAGGACTGATCCTGGACTAAAACAGGACTGAACCAGGACTAAACCAGGACTAAAACAGGACTAAACCAGGACTGAACCAGGACTAAACCAGGACTGAACCAGGACTAAACAGACTGAACCAGGACTAAAACAAGACTAAACCAGGACTGATCCTGGACTAAAACAGGACTAAACCAGGACTGAACCAGGACTGATCCTGGACTGATCCAGGACTAAAACAGGTCTAAACCAGGACTAAATCAGGACTGAACCCGGAGGACTAAACCAGGACTGATCCAAGACTAAAACAGGACTAAACCAGGACTGAATCAGAACTTAACCAAAACTGAACCAGAACTTAACCAGGATTAAACCAGGTCTGCAGAAGCGAGATCGGGCGATGGCTGCACTGAGCCTGGTGAGGTGTGGAGCTCTGCGCTGGTCCTTTCTCCTGCAGTCACCCGACCGTCTACATGGGTGCACCTACAAGCCTGTCCCAACACTCAGTCCTGGCTCAGTTCTGGTCTAGACCTGGTATAGTCCTGGTTCAGTCCTGGTGCCTCACTTCACTATAGGACAGTCCTGGAGATATCATGAGCCTGCAGGTTGTTTTCACTGTTGTCAGTAGCTCTGGTTTGACATTTAACTTGTATCTATGAACTGAAACACATATAAACTACAACTGTACAGTAGTTGTACTGTAGGGTATTATATTATATGTAATGTATGTATTGTATCATTAACATCATAGTGTTTTTATATTATACTCATTAGCAGAAAAAAACATGAGATTTTTCTTTTTCGTGTCTTAATATGTATCAAAATAAAATTGATATTGTGACCCCTGTTTCAAAATACATATCGAATTGTGGGAAAATCGTATCACTGCATCTCTAGTACACGCCCACTGTGACGTACTTACTTCATTCACCAATTGTATTATTATTATTATTTTTTTATCTGTGGGTCATGTAGGATTTGACTACCCAGGCTGGCACCACTCAATTTCATTTGTCTCCTTCTAGGTCAGAAATTAAAATACACTAGACGGTTTGCAAAACCTCAGGAAGTGCGAGTTCGTGCACCAGCCAATGAAGAGTGAAGAGTGATATATTCAGTGTTGTTAATGATTCCCGAGATCGAGGATTTAAAGCTGGAACAAAGAGAATGTTTGGTGAATTTCATCAAGGGGAAAGACGTTATTGTCCTTCTTCCTACAGCAGGGGTGTCAAACTCATTTTGGTCCGGGGGTCGTATCCAACCTACTTTGATCCCAAAGGGGCCGGATTAGAAAACTCATGTCATATAAACCCCAAAAATAACAATAAGTTCAAATACTTGTGCAGCGAAACGCAAATCTATTACAGAAATCTTTTTTAATTGATGAACTTTTTCTTTTACAAAATATTGTAATATTATGAACAACCTGAAGCTTTAAGAAAAATACAATTTCAACTCAATGTTTTAACATGAACTTAAAATAGGAATAAGTCAATTTTAGTTGTAAAATCCTGCACTCGGCTCCACTTTTCTCATGTTGGACATTTTTCTGATGAGGGTGTCACGGTCAACAGTCAAAACGATCGTCCTTTAAGAGCGTTTGGAAAGAGACAAGTCTTCGTTTGTGCTGCTCTGGTGGGAGGGGCCACGTACAGAGACACTGGAGACGCTGCTGTGATAAACACCACAGAAAATTAACAAGATTTTAATGAAAAATATAATTAAAATATTTTAGTAGAAAATCAGCCGAGGGCCACATTAAAGGTCTTGGAGGGCCGGATGTGGCCCCCGGGCCGCATGTTTGACACCTGTGCCCTACAGGATTTGGGAAAAGCTTAATATACCAGTTAGACCTGTTAGTGGTGTATTACATACGTCACGACCAAATAGCAGCGATTGGTTACATGAAAAAAACTACCCACCTACCGTCGAGCGAACGACTCCTAATGCTGTGAGGTCAGACGGTTTCTACGTAGTGAAACCGGTTGATGAATCAGGACAGAGTATTTAGACTGAATTCTTCTCTTAAACACTCCTCTGTGATGTCTTGTGGTAATACATGAAGAGCTCCAACATGTTTTTAAACTCTTTACACCTTCAACATAATCATCTGGATGATTTTAGCCCCAGGACTGTCAGTCTTTACTGAACTCAAGTTAAACTGTAGCTGTTAACTCCAAAATTTCCATTTCATGACATCACAAGGTGAAACATTTTGAGCTTTGGAGATGTAGACTAATAATAAAGTGTTACTCAAACATGTGTGAATGGAACAAAACACAACTCCAGGTCTGTTTTTGATGAGGGAACATTATAACATTGCTTAAAGTTGCAATGTGTAACATTTCTGATTGGTTAAATGATAAAAAGTATCCACCTACCGTCGAGTGATCGACACCTAAGGCTGCGAGCTCAGACGGTTTGTACGAAGTGAAACTAAGTAAAACCGGCTTATGAATCAGGCTAGGATTTGACAGCACTGCATAGTTATTTTGGTAGAAAAAAAGAAACTATTTGCTAGTGTGTGGTGATGTTTCCGGTGACGCCAGCTCCCCCTGCACTCCGTCATTTTTCTACTCTGTAAATCACTGAACCTGTTTCTTTGAATGAGCCGTTTTAGTTGAATATTGTGATTTCAAATGTCCAGATTGTAACGTAATGATCCATGTGCGTCACAGATGATGAGTACAGTCAGTGTACAGAGGAAAAACACAATATGTCGAGTTTAAAGTTCTATTCCACCTTTGACCCCAGACTACATACTCTGTTTATTTACCGACTGTTTCCCCCATAACTAAAGCACAAAGTCTGAAGAAGTCTTTTAACACTCTACGGACTTTACACATCTGGGACACACAGAAAAAACAGAGGGAGAGAGAGAGAGGTGTAGAAAGAGAAAGAGAAGAGGTGTGTGCGGGTGTCGGCTCCAGGTCCGCTCCAGGTCATTTGGTGATTGAATGATTTAAAAAACACGTGGTTAGAAAAGCAGATGATTGACAATAGAAATAAGAGACGCAGTCGTGTGTTTCTAATGAGCTGAAAGAGTCAACTGCACTTGTACACGACTGATTCAAAACAACAATCTGTCACACTGTGTCTCCAAACCACATTCTCACAACTCAACAAACAATTTCAATTTGAATACGAAAAAAAAATATTCCAAACATGCAGAGGAAATGTTCTAAATATTTTTTTTTTTTGTTCTCTCTCGTCTACGTCCTTCTGTCGTGGACTTAGGCGACGTAATCTCCTCTCAGATCTACTGTAGGACTCTCCTCTGTCTCTCTTTCTCTCTCATCCCTCTCTTCTGTCTCCTTTTGGTTTTAACTCTCTCCCCTTCTCTCCCTCTTTCTTCCTTGTCTCTCTCTCTCCTGGCCTCCTCCTCTTTCCACCTCCATGTCTCTCTCTCCCTTCT